TACCTGTGCCTCGCTCTCTTGCCTGTCTTTCCTCATTAGCTTTGATATCACAGTGCCATCTACTTGATCAACAGAGTCAGGTTATTTTCCTTAGAAAATTACATGGCTCTAACACTGAAGAATTCAAAGGGCTGCTTGGTTTCCTGGCAAGCTCTCTCTCCTTCTCACCTCCCAGCCCTTTCAAAGCAGCCCTGCCCTTAGATGTCCCCCTTTGGGAGCTGGCCCAGCTCCAAGCCTATCAGACCTACACAAAGCCCTGGCTGGACAGTGACAGATCCACAGCGCTGCAAGGACAATCCAAGCCCTGCCGACCGTTTTCTCAGCATCCCTTCTCCTCTCTGGCAGGTGTTTCAATTTGAGAGATGGGTACCCCTCTGTAGGCAGAAAACACGTCAGCCTTTTGTGTGTGTAAACTGGAGCAGAGGCTTTGTTTGGAGTAAGAAAGCATCACAGCAGTCAGAGGAGATAGATTGCATATCTTGAAAGGTTGAGCCATCCCTTCTTAGAAATATCCACAGCCTAGCCTGAGCCCCAGCAGGCATGTACTTTATGAATTTTTCCTACAAATATTTAGACAAGAAACACTGTAGACAGGGCTAAAAGAAATTATCACTGTGCACTTACTTCTAAAGACCTGTTTCTCTACAGGAATCACCAGTCTGGCAAGATCAACAGTAGGAGTGAAGGTGAGACTGCCACACTAAATAACTTTTCACCTACAAGACAGGCTTTTTTCTCTTTTTCTACTATTGAAAGGCGTTTGAAGTTTTTTCCTATGTATATTTCAAAGTAATTTTGATTCATTCATTGTGAAAAATCAGCATGTAGACTCCAGTTTTACCTGTCCCTAAGCCTTATCTTTTTATTGTTTTTTTCCTCACCTGTCATGCTGTTCTTATCTTACCAGCACTGTTGCAAACAGGTAGAGTGTACATACCAGCCACTTTCCTGTGCTCAAAGTCCTCCATGGGCCTTACACAGGATTGTTCTTATCAAAGCCTCCATGTTTTGTCCCTCAGAAGACATCTTTGCTATGACACGTGCATGCAGGCTGAGTGACAAGGTACAGGCTTGCTTTTATTTGCACTGAGGCTTCTCTATATGGAGATGGGGAGCTACAGAGACATCTGCACTCTCTGCTGTCATGCTCCACCGGTGGGGAAGGTAGGACAGCTTTCTGCAGCAGCACCATGGTACATTTCTTCTTCTCCACTGCCTGTCAAATGTGATCTTTTTTCATAGGTGAAACTGGCAAAGTCACTCTCAGTCTCTCTGACTGTGACTTTCTTTTCCTTGGTGTGTGTGCTGGCCATTGCAGTGAGCAAACTTGTAAATGCCAATCCCATGCCATTGCCATAGGACTCCAGCAGTGTTCTATGTATCCACTCAAAAGGAACAGGCATGGCAGTCTACCCACACCAGTATTTTTTCTATAAGTTCTGGGATCCTGAGTTATAAAGAAATCTGTAACAGCTGTGAGGTATGACAAGAAAACAAATAACTGTTTGCTTACTTAATGGCCATCAGTCTTTATGGCGCTTCTGGTTCATTTATAGCTCAGGACTGAGATAAAGGTTGGCATTGACCATACAACAATCAGCTCTTGTATGTGGCCAATACAGTTGCTGGGGAACACAATGCCAATATTTTCTGTGTTGACACCAGCACTTGTTCTGTTTCTTAAGCAGGGTGGCTTCCATGCAAATAACTCCTCTGAGTGTTCACATCAACTGGATTCCAGTTTGCCCTGTGGAACTGAGCATAACAAAGTAGTAAAAGAGATTTCCACATTCATTGAAAAAGAGCATCTTGTCCACGTGGATACTATATATTCCTCTTGTCTTATGGATTAGTGACTTTAGTACTGTTTTCCCATCAGTTGCTAATGGGGCCAGAAGAGAGCAGGAATAATTTGAAATTAAGAGAGGGTTGCTCCTACTGTTGTGAGTGGCAGTTAATGCTTCACACATAGTTCTGACCCATGCTTTCTGTGGCATTTTGTTATAGTCAGTAAAGATCAGCAAACAGTAATAGGAGTTTTTAGGGGGTCTTGCTCAAAAGCACATCTGATTGTTTTTATGTAATCCCTCTGCTGATTGCACGGGCATAGCCCACTGCTGTAAATCTGTGATGGGATTTAATGGGATGATGGATACACCCGGTTGTCTCTCAAATCTCCCTCCCTCCAAAGGGGATGGAGAAGCAACCAGTCCTGAGCATGTCCCACTCATTTGGAGTATCACAGAAGATGTGGTATTTTCAGCCTTTCCTGTGTTGGGTGGCGCAGAGGAGATATTTTAAAGTTGAAATAAGTTCTTATCTACATTATAAACTGTGGTGTAGGCCTGCCTTGGGCTCCTGGCTTTCTCCAAAACAATGCTGCTGGCTAAAGCCATGTAAACCATTCCAAGTACAACAGCAGCAGCAACTACCGCTGGCTTTTCCCTTAACAGTTTTGTTGCTGAATGAACACATACTTTTTTACCCCTTGTGACTGAATTGAAGAGGAAGAGGAAGACAACTTTTGCATGTGGGGAGATTGCTGTCGTAATAAACACCTGAGCAAACTTTACTATATCCTGTCTTGGCTGTAACTCTGCACATGTGCCAGAACTTACAATGCCAAGAAATCTATTAAGTTTGTTCTTCCACCTTCACCCAGCCAAGATACATTCCCCAGTTCTCCCCCAAACCATTTGAATTTAAATAAATATAGGGAAATCTAATCTAAAATGATGGGACCTCTGTTTTCTGAGAAGTATGGCACTGAAATCCTGGTGGGGAGAGATAGCTTCTCTGGGTAATTCTGGCCTAAGCAACCATCAGCCCTACCCACAGCTGCTCATATGTGCCCTGCGTCATCCCCTGCCTCATGCTGCCGCAACTGCTTCCTTAGCTGGATGAGGAACTAATCAGAAGCACAGATCCTGATGGAAAATAGCCCAGGGAAAAGGGGCGAGGGAAGGAGTTTTCTGCCAGATCAGTTCCTCCATCTCATATCAAATGCGTGTGTTTACACCCTGCAGCAATAATGGGAACAAATTCATCTGGGGAAGGGGGGCAGTCAGGGTGGTGACCGTTTAAACCGGTTTTACCACCCTCAATGAATACCAAGCTATTGCTTCAAGTAAAAGCTCCTCCCAAAGTCCCCAGTGTAAGGAAATTGTCTGATTGATTTCCTTAGCTCCTGCTTTAGTCTGTGTACTACTTCTTGGTAGAACTTTGATGCTTGTCACAAGTGTGTCACCAGTCTGTCCCTGCCTACGCCTCTCCCTGCTGTCACCACTGCTTTGCCTTTCAAGGAACTTTTGTGGTCTGACTTGCAGAATAAAGAGTTTCTTGGGAAATAGCAAAGAGGAGGCAAGACGTAACACATGGATTGCCTATGTAATATGTGACTTCTCTGTGTGAGCACAAAGTCTTCCCAGTATTCCCCTCACCACTTTATTCCTCTGCCAGGCTGTGTTTGGGCTGGACACTCTGTGCAGCACTGGCCTGGTGCTGCAATTTGACGTAGTTTATTGCTTAACAGTTTCATAACCTCTTATTTTCACTACTGGGTAGAAATGAAGGGCTTTGATGAGAAGATTGCATTACAGGACCCGTTTTGTAAAGAAAAACAAAACTTGGAAATGAGGTTACACTACTGCGTCTCATCCCAGCTTGTTTTTTACTAAACAGTCCTTCAGGGACACAGCGTGGCAGTGCTAAAGCCAAACGCTCTGCCAGCCTCTGTCAGAGGACATTTGTTGTGTCCCCTGGCAGATGCTGTGGCAATAATTGTGCGTGAGACTGACACCGATTAGGCTGCACCACGGGGCTCCCACCAGGCATTTCCTACAGCAGCCAGGGCTGCAGGGTTGGGTATCACAGCAGCAGCAGTTATTGCTACTGATGGCTGTTCCCGGGGGACTATCCCGGGGCTCTTCCCGGGTTAAGTCCGGTCCAAGCTTAGATGCCAGCAACTCCTGCTGTTTTGACATGAGCTTGATTAGACTGGCACTACAGAGGATCACTAGACAGTGCATGTGTGCCAGAGGCCATTGCTAACAGACAGGATAATAAGATCTCTTCCAGAGGCTAATCCAGAGGTATTACGAGCAGGTGTTTTGGTGTCCACTCCCCTGGTTATCACAGCCTGGTGGTTGGCTGTGGTGTCCTTCACCTTCGCAGGTCCTTGGCAGGCTTTCACTTTGGCCCCTTTGTGCGTAGTGTAGAGCGGGACAGAGCTTGTTTGAGACAAGCATCAGCTCCACGCTGCTTCCTCCCTCCCGGAGGGGCTTTCATGTCCTTCTCAGCCCTTTCCTTCATTGTCCTGGGGGACTGGTCGCCTTTCAAACCTGTAGATCCGGAGTTTCCAGCCCAAAAGCTACACCCCTCAGTGGGGTCAGGAGACTGGCAGATACAACTTGATCCCCGGCAAGGAGCCGGGGAGCGAGGGCCGAGTGGGTGGCTGGCCTCCCCTTCCCACTGCCTTGCTGTCCGCTTCCACCTGCCCGGCAGTGCAGAGCGGGAAG